TCTTAAAATGCCTTAGAAGAATAGAGTGTAATACAGCTATACAGGCGAAGGTACAATTTTTACTGTTAACTCTAAATTTTTGTAAATAGCAAATGTTTTAATTTTTCAGCGTCATCATACAACTACAAAATTGAAGTTAGAGATTTTTTCTTCAAATAAAGTGGGTTCTTCGTATTTAGTTCTTTCATTAAGGTCATGTACATTCTTTTGAAAATTTTACTAACTTCCGCACAATATTGCGTGAAATATGTGCAATTTAAAAAAATAACAAACAAGATTTTCTCAAAAACGGCTCCAATTTTTTCTTCAAACTTTTGATAGGGATAGTGCTAAATGTACTCTATGAGATGACAAATGTCATTGTTTCCTGTATTATTTTTTTTCAAAAATTTAAAAAAATTACATTTATTTACTTGTCTTCCACGTCGTTAATATTTACATTAGCGATAATTTGTCCACATTATTACATTTATGAGTAAATGGGCTTTAAATAATGTAAATAATGTTTCTTGAAAACCAACAGTTTGCAATGAATATGAGCTCAATATTCCGCATTTCCAGAAAAGCTCAAACGCTTTTTTCTCCAAAATGTCTCCAATTTTTTTCCAAAGATTTCGTACTGCTAGTGCTTATTGCACTTTTTAGGATGACATAAAATTAATTTTTCAGTATTCTTTTATTGTTTTCAAACATTGCATTTTATTTTTTTAAATCTCTCTCATGCCATTAATAAGCACATTTCTAGTGATTTGTAAGCACTATTGTATTTGTAAGTGGAAGTGCTTCAAATTTCTTTCAATAAAAGTTTTTGAAAACTCAAAAAGTTTTCGTGATATCGAGTTTCAAATTTCACATTGACAGTGAATTGAATTATCAGCAACACTTAAATGCTATTTTATTAAAAACTATTCCAAATTTTTCAATGAAAATTGCCATTTATGACGAGGTTTTACTCTTCTTTAATATTCTGAAAGTAATATTTCGATTCTACTATTAGTAAACCGAAAAATTGAGATTTTTTTTTAAAAAAAAAGTACTTTGGGCGGCGACAGATGGCAGCTGACAAAATTAAGTGGGAAGACAGAAAAGCTAGTCCAGACCAAATAAATCAAAAAATTAAATAGTACCAGAAATTCTATACCGTTCTGTATCACTACTAGTTGCTTTTTGTTCATCTGTCTAGTGTATGGTAAATCATTTTCCTTTTCATCGAAGATAAAAAATTATGGAAGGTAATTTGTAAACACACTTAATTATTGTGGAGAATTTCCAATTATTTAGCACACACAAAACCTTTCTTTATTATTTCTAACACAAAGGAGTAAGCCATAACCACTGACAGCAGTAGCAACCGCGAGAGAATATCCTGTGGACACAGCAGTAGTACATATTTTGAAAAACCATCGCTTGTGTTGATGTAGCAGGAAATGCGATGAGCCTTCGAGGTCCATATTATTCATTACACGTTCTCAAATGTTACTATGAATAATTTGGTAGATAATATTATTTAACGTTATAACATTTATAATACAATTTCGTAAGGACTACTGGAAAAAGTCATTAAAAAAGGTCACTATCAATATAAAACACTTCGACAAATAATAAAATGAAAATACCTGTCAGCCTTGGAGGTCTATGTTTTAGTATCAGCGAGTTAACTGTCTGACACTCTGAGATGATGGTCTTTTAAATGTTGATTGTGAACTCATTTTACTTTACATAATAGTATAATACTTAATTGTACAAGTTCAAGTTTCGAAAACAAGGGACTTATAGAGCAAGTTTTCAAATTTGTTGTACATAAGAATGCAATAAATCAATATTATAAACTAGTTCTATACGTTTTTTTAATATAACAGCATTAGGCATTTATAAAAGAATCAAAGTTAATTTTGGAAACAAATATCATAAGTAAAGTTTAGTTGTGGGCAACATGGACGTGTTAAACATATGTGAGAAAAATGGTGATGGGATGTGCGGTTTACCGCCGTCAACCCACGATTCGCTTGCTACGATTCCTTGTGTGTGTGTGTGTGTGTGATGACGCAATTATTGGTGCCATAAATGGCTACGTCATAATCTAAGCCATAAAATGGCATTTTATGAAGAATTTCTTGGTCGGAAAAAACTCGTTTACATTGCTGATACACAAAGAAGTTTGTTTTTTGTATATGAAAATTTCATTTATATTGTAAATAAATATATTTTAAATAAAGTGCAATTAAAATTCGTATGTTAATGTTTACTTTGCAAATTTCATTTTAAAATTACAAGCACAACGATTCAAAAGCTCTTTCACTTTCTTCATCATGTGATATTGTAGCTATCTTTTATTTAGCTCGGATGGCCACAAAACATGCAGTGCATCTGATGGATTGTATGATGAAAAATCAAATTTAATTTCTTTTGAAATCTCAGACATTAAGAAATATGTACGATAAGCGGTGAAAATATGTATCTTGCAAGGTTCGTGAAATATGCAACAATATGCCCTAAGGAGCTACTATTTTAACTAGATTTTTATAAAATATTTTCTGCGCGTGCATTTTGGGAACGACATTTTTATCAGGTTAATATGTAAGAAGTTCAAATAATTTTTCTTGAGTTACCATATTTCTTTCTTAATTTTAATGAAATTCATGTAACTGAAGGCAATCTAAATCGTAATGCCATAACATGTACGATAACACATTGAATACAGATACTGTCATTTATGATATATTCATTATCTTTGTTACATACGATTATGGTTTGTTATTCTCATGTATTGGTCATTATTACATTACATTTCATTATTCATGATGTTTAATATTGAATAAGTTTGTAATTTTTTACTAACAATATTGCTATGTAGAATTTGAGTTACGTAATGATAGTGGACATTACAAGATTATTTTCCTATCAATTGACCTGTAAATAAATAAAATATTTTATATTTGTTTTTGAATATGAAATTATATTTTAATCATTTTTGTTTTTTTGTTTTTGAAGTTACAATAAAAATAACGTTATAAAAAGCGATGCGATTTAGTTTTTTCGACTAACATTGGTCCGCGGATAGAAACTAAAATGCCCACATAAGACTATTTCTCTGTTGAACCAAAACTCGGACCGAAATGAAACTTGTGGGTAAGTCCAGATTCCGTCACGATCCGCCGTGACGTGAAATGTTTCCCTTCGGAATTTCGATCGGTGGACCGGAATGAAAACTAAAATTGATCCCTGAACTCCAGATGCAGAATGATTAGAGCTAGACCAAAGAAAGAAGACAAATTGAGGCTCAGTGTTTATGCTCTTAAAACGCGTTTTTGTTAAGTTTAAGGACATTTAGAAGTGATCAATAGCTCATTTAATTTCTGAAGACTAATTGACTACTCGTCAATACTTCATTAATCAGATTGACAATATAATTATATCTAACTTTGTAATGGAAATTTGAAGAACGTATTTCTAGCGATTGTGCCCATCGATAGCGACGAAATCCGTGTACGATATAACTCTCGTTCATTCATCCGCAATTTTGAAAACCACTTTTCTGTGCAAGTTGACGCTTTGCTACGTAGTTCCACGTTCCAAGGTCGAGCTTCAGGCCTTCATCCCTCGCGTTAACAAAAAATATCATTGAGCTTGTCCAATCCATAATTACCCAAGCACTTTATTCGAAGTTAGAAGTTAAATCGGATCGGAATCAAAGAAAAGTAAATTAAATACTTAAGCAATCAGTGAACACTTCCTTTTGCATCTTCAAAACATCCTCGTCATTCATAATATATATGACATATTTATTGCGAAGTAAATCATTATTTACGCTGACCCCACGTAATCACTTCCAACAATCAATTTTCGCAAATGACTAAATAATATTCTATTTAAAATTTCCATTACTCCTCAAAGATTACACACACACACACAACCGGCAAAGGGGATTCAGAACATTAACTGATGTCACAGCCGTACCTCTGACCAGGAGGTCCTAGGGTTCGTATCCTGACAGTGGTAGGATTTTCGACTCTAGCTAGCCAGCTAGATTGGATTTATTCGCAGTTTGGAGGACAATTCTAGCGGCCGGAAGCTCTGATCAGTAGTTTTCCGTGGTTTCTCCAATCAGATGAACGCCGGGACAGTACCCTAACTAACGGGCCACGGACCGTGCGCGGATTTTCCTTCCACTTCTTGCCCTATTCCCACCTCTTACTTACACACACTTACATGCACGTCACTACCATACATGCCGGGAGACCGGTCGATCTAGCCTTTCAGCGAGGGATTATCACCGACACCCCCGGGATAAAGACATAAAAACATGCAATACATACGTACACGGGACTATAGATCTTGGTAGATCACACGCCCGGAATTACTGATCAATCAATGAGTTTCACGCACACAAGAATGACTTCTATCACAAGAGATTCATTCGTGTGAACCGTTCACACTGTTGGCAGGAGCGAACGGGAGCCGTACTATCACGGTCGTTAGTGCTGTAACTGCGTATTATATCCCGGGAGATTGCAGTGTTCCTCCCAAACTGGGAAGTGATATCCGGCGCTCGCGTACTCGTCGGCTTGATGGGGTTTCCTCTCTCTAGGTAACTCCCCCAGTGATGCACTGCCCCAGTCAGGACACTCTATGCTCCCGACCGGTCTCCCCACACGTGTAGCAGGGAAGTGCACGCACGTGTAAGCGTGTTTATAAAGGGAGGGGAGTGAACGAGGATGACAAAAGAAATCTGCTTTGTTAAGGCGCTGCTTGGGCATCCGTCTGATACTGATCGTCGACACCACGGAAAGTTATGATCAGAGCTGCCAACCGGTAGAATTCACCTCCAGACAGCGATTGAATGCGACCTACCTCTCCAGCTAGTGTGCATAATCCGCCACGATTGCGTCTGAACGTACGAGAAGCCGCTGCAGTGCACGAGTGGTGTCTACGCCCCCTGCCCTACTCCCACCCCAGCGCCAGAGGCGTGCACGCGCGCGTGATAATGGGGTAATACTCACCGGACGGCGCGCAAGCGGTGCCAGAGGCCGTCGTCGACGCGCGTGGCGTTGTACACGATGGTGACCTCCCCGCCGCCCAGATTGAAGCGGAAGTGCAGGTGGCCGGCGGAGACGCCCAGCGCCAGGAAGTCGCCCGCGGGCGTCATGCGCGTCTGGCCGCTCCACAGCAGCAGCCCCGAGGCCGAGCGCGTGCGAAAGCGCATGTTGATGCTGGTCTTGTAGCTGACGATCCTGCGCACAGCGCGCGCGCCGCGCCGGAAATGGAGGTGCGCCCCGGGCACGCCCAGCGCCCCAGCAGCGCTGGACGGCCCGCGGAGCAGGGACGATCATCGCCACCGTCACAAATCATAATTAAACATTATCAATATTAATAGAGCAACAAAAGAATTAGCAGTAATTATTATTACTATTACTATTATTATTATTACCATTGTTATTACTATTATTATTACCGCTGTTATTATTATTATTATTATTATTATTATTATTATTATTATTATTAACCTTCGTGTTACGCTAAGGATAATTAAAGTTTATGGCAATTTGTAAGAACCCATTCACATAAAACCTTGTAAGTGTGGGGTAGGGTAAGTGAGTAGGGTAGGTGTAAGTGTGGTGTAATTCCTTGGTAAGGGATTACTCCTCAGTCCTGCATCCTATAAATTTAAAACAAAAAAACAATGTTATCAGATTACTACATACAAGTATATTGATAAAACACACACATTATGCTAGCGCAGAAGAAACGATGCGTCTTGGGCATTTCATACCAGGTTTGTGTGTTCTAGAGGGGAAAGTGAGTTCTACGTGAGGATTCGAGCTTTGAGGGGACATGTGTAAGACAGGTGGGGGACATGAAGATAAATCAGGGGACAAGGGAGGTCCAAATTATGTTTCTTGCCCAATATTTTATAAAATGATATTCCCAAAATTCTACTACATTTTGGAGATTTTGTTCTTATGGGTGCCTCTACTCCATAGATTGGGTGGTCAAAAAAATGAAGTAAACTAAAATATAAAATTAAATTGAAGAATAAAGACACAAATACTCTTTGACAATAAAAATAAAGGAAAAGTTTGATTATCTAAGCAATTTTATCTCAACGCTTAGCAATATTAGAAAGCTGCACGCACAGTTCAGGGACTGACCGTTTGAAACTGGGTTCTTCCCTAAAGCAATTTTCACCTTTAAAACTCGCAAACAGAAAAGTTGCGGGGTTTTCGATCAGGACCAACCAATATTATTGCCATTGTCTACAAAAGTGCAAGGAAAGGAAAAGCCTTCTGCAAGCAGGGTACAGGTTTGACATATGATTAGTAACTGTTATTTCTCGTCTATTATTAAACGCCTTCATTGCTCTGTATGATTTTGTGTGAGTTTATAATATTTATTCCGGTTTATTATTAACACCGATAATGTTGTTAGAGTATTAGCACAAGGTTATATATTATGGTAAGAATACCAGAGCAAGAAAGAATATTTTTGTGTACACTACGTCCTGCAGTATAATTTTTAACATACTCTGGAACTTTTAATGATTCATACATACATTTACGATAACATACACTGGAACATACTGGAACTTTTTATGATTCCAGAAACGAAAGCACTCCGATTTCAACTTCATTTCATTAAATAAGCGATCTTGCAGTATAATCCTTACCACCATGAAATCATAACAAGAAATGAAATTTGCAGACACTGAGCAATAAGAGTATATATTCTAAAGCCTGAATTGTTTCATTTCATCAGTTTATGAAGTGCTCTAGTCGTATGCTTATTAATCCAGCGAATTATGCTATAAGTCCAGATTTACATTCGATTCTGCGAAAATTAAATACCATCTTGGAAGAAAAATTTGTAGGCAATTGTCAGTAACTGTGAAGAGATCTAATCATGGCCTAATTTCGCCTAGATTAGTCATTGCTGCTTTCATGCATGTCGATAATATGATAATGAAATCTCAAAGAGAAAATGGGTACTTAAAGGAGAACTATATTTCTTTTAATATTCTAGGAGATAGTGGTGTAGTGCTCGAAATTACGAGATCGAAATTCTACTCAGTGCTTAGTTGCCTTAAATTCTCACAACAGCAGTCTTGAAGATCAGTTCCTGTTGGAAAATTTCATCCAAGTTTTAAATGATTGTTGAGTTTTGTTTACTGGTACTAAGTATTCCATAAACTACTTGTAATTGTATATTTTCATAGATTAATAAGTCATGCTATCTAAAACCGCTATGATCAATCTATGAAAACTGCTATGAGGAGCAAACCATAGTACGAGTTTATTGACGCATTACGTATCATTTTCTCTACCATTGATTACTTTTAATACGTAATAACAAAGAATTTCCCTTTTTCAGTCCCAATGAGTAGTAACCATTCTCAAATTTTGTACACGACACTCGCATCAAAATTCGGAGGTAATGCATCGGTACCGTTCATTTGACTGCAAGCCAGGAGATCGGCAATGTTAATGCCGTTCATGTTGAAAATGGAAAATACGTATCTTCAGTTTGAGGTTCAATAAATTAAAAAAATATATGACATTCATTTAGAGCATACATTTTTTAAAGTGTATGAATTTTTCGTAAATGTGTGATATTTTTATTAACAAATTTCCCATTTGTGTTGTAACTAAAAGATAATAAACTATAAATGTAGATATAGGTTTCTGAAAAAAATTGTTAGACGTATTAAATGATTATGATTGATTTTCTCACAGATTGATTTATTTTCAGCGACTTTAAAAATACATTTCCGACCAATTTAGGCACATTTGAATGAATGTTTTGAGTGTCGTGCGTGACGCTCTGACTGATCCCCGGAGCACATGCCGCAAGAATCGCCCAGCTTCTTTTAATCATTTATCGACAAAAGCAGTAAAAAACTGGGCACATTTCTTCAGGAAAAGTGATATCTCTTTTTTATTGTACAGTTAAATTATGAATACTAATTGCAACTTGCGTACTTTGCAACATTTGATTACAATATTTGATAGATCTCGTACAATAGATACAATTTGCATCAAGAAACGAGCCACAGATTTGATTTATTGGTTCTGTTGACGAAATAAATAACTCTCCGATTCTTCTTACATCTAGCAAAGTGACAACTTGAGGAAAGAGCTCAAATAGAGAGAAATTATAGACAGGCTTGAGAGGTGGAGAAGCTTGCTTTAAGGAAACAAACAACACAGGGTAGAACTATTTGCTTCATTCGATTCCACGTTGAAAACCGTAAAAAGGGTAGACGAGGGGGTTAACGCATTAAACGTGAGAACTTAAATTTACTCAAATCGTTTTTATTGTGAATAACCTTTCAAAATAGAAGAAAAACTTATTAAAGATTATGTTATGACAAAATACACCTGGTAATAATTGTTCGAAATATAAGGAAAGTTCAAATTTCACGCAGAAACGGGACTGTGTGTTCTTTTACTGCAACCAGTCAAAAACTAAATTATTGTATAAATTTTAATACTACGTAACATTGTTAAATCCTAGACAATAAAAAAGGTTTGAAAAGTGATTTGCAATAAATTTTATATTATTTATAGAGAAGAACATTTTGTTAGAAGAAAGACCGATACAAATATGTTATTTACAATGTGTCAATCACAAATCATCTGAGCGAATACTAACTTGTGGTTTATCACAAAGGTTAAATACCGGGTCCACTTATACCAATCTTTGTTGAAAAATCGTTTAGCGTCGATTTCAACTCCACAGTTGTGCTTTACAATAATGATGATACCCAATTGATAAAAACCCGTTTCATCCGAAGCAATATTTTTTGCTGACTTATCAGTTAATAATTATTGTGAAAAAATTCCTGGTCGAAATAAAATTGTCAGATTTTAAATATTTTGAAGTCATCATGGTTAATGAATACGACAGCATTTAGGAGTTAACGAGTCCTTATGACGATTACACTTGCCATTTTCATCAACTCGTCACAGCTGTAGTGTTTCAACGGTGGGAATGCTTATCGTTTCGCAGTTACCGCAACAACCGTCGCCACTTACATGTTCTCTTAATATGATGTAAATGTTATATGTTATGTTCGAACTTCCAAATGTGTTCGGATTACCAGAGTTCTACTGTATTGGTAAATAACTAAATATATTTCTTATGTATGGAAACGTCACAATGTTTTCTGCGACTTTTCAGTCACCTACTTGTATTCCCTTCGATCTTGGTTCGGAATTCCTAATTCCCTCTTTGGTTCGAGAACTTCAACCAGGCAGTTCTGCGAACACGACAAACCTACCCGACTATTCAGCTACAGTTGAACATGTGGCCTCGTTTACTCTCAATCCCAAAACTTCGAGAATCCTAAGCGTGTTAGCTTCGGGTTTACCCAACATGGTCGGTTAGCTTTGAGTTCCAAACGGAAGTATCAGAAAAGTCGCACAGACACCCTACTAGAATTAGTCGCCTCTGGGCTTTAATCTCAAGTTGCAGTAAATGTAGGGTAGAGCCCCAAGTGACGCATGCATACTCGCCTCCCTCCCCCCTCTTTCCCTCTCTCTTTCTCTCTCTCTCTCTCTCTCTCTCTCTCTCTCTCTCTCTCTCTCTCACACACACATGCGCAGACACCTCAATCAAATAATTTAACACATCACTTATTAATTGTCTTATAAACTTGTAACTCATTTGCAACGGTTTGACCTGTATTTTGGAATCGTTTATTGATGCTTGAGGGGTAAACTCTATTTACCAAATATAAAGGAACATTCTTGTGATATTGCTAAACTTGATCAATCGCCCCTCGCGAGTTGCTCCTAGTCAAAAGCCTAATCTGTGAGATACCAAACTATAATAATGAGATAATAAGGTAACTCAAGATACCAGTAGTTTTCAAATTAGGTTTTCTATTATTAAGTCACTGCGAAGAAGCTAGCATTTAATTCTATTTCAATGCTCTGGGGAAGCGAAATGTTCTGAGTATATCTGAGAATATACTAAAAAAGTATCACTTTCTTTTCAAAAGTACGTTTTTTAAAAAAAAATTACCATCGCTAAGGAAAATGAGATGCAGCTTTTTAATTTTTCAGAAAGGTACAATATGAATGATTTGTAGAATCGCTAGCATTTGAGTACAGTGAAACATCGCGGAGGCAAATTCATGATTGCATGTAAATTTTGTAATACTTCCCCAAAACGGTTTTAATTTTATCGTAGTATAAGATTTTACATATTGTGACGTACCTTGGAAACGGTACTC